ATAAGAATAATAAACTATTATTTTAAGAAATGATAATACTATTATATTTAAGGAATAATTAAAGATGGTCCTCATAATTATTTTCAAATTTCAATTGAGTTGCAACTTAATTGCGCCATAAGAAAATTTAATTACGTTACAAGTTGCAACTCAATTGCATCATTTTTTTCAATTGCGGTGACCATCTTTAGGAATAATAAACTATTGTATCTAAGAAATAATAAAACTATCATATCTAAAGAATAATAAATAAATTATTTTTTGATAAAACTATTATATCTAAGAAATGATAATACTATCATACTTATAAAATAATGAATCTATTATTCTTTAAAATGATAAAATATTAATCCTTAGAAATGGAAAAATTATCATACCTAAACTATTGTATTTAAAAAATAATTAAACTATCATATCTAAGAAATAATAATATTATTGTATCTAAGAAATAATAAAACTATTATATTTTAAAATAATAAAACTATTATATCTAAAAAATGATAAATTATCATTCTTTAGAAATAAAATACTATTATATTTAAGAAATAATAAATGCATTGTTTCTTAGAAATAATAAAATTATCATATTTAAAGAATGATAAATATATTATTCTTTTAAAATGATAAATCTATTGTATCAAAGAAATAATAAAACTATTATATCAAAGAAACAATAATACCATTATTACTTAGAAATGATAATATTGTTATACTTTAAGTTAATAATCTACCTCAAATACAAATTTCAATTTTAAGCAATCTAATTTAAAAATTCAAATTTAAGCAATATAGTTTTACTATCTTAATTTAAAATTAGGATAAATTGAAAATTAAGATATATAATAATTTAAGTTAACTATTATCCTAATTTAAAATTAAAACAAATTAAAAACTAGAATATGTAATATCTTAAGTTAACAATTGTCTTAATTTTCAATTAGGATAAGTTAGAAATTAACATAAGATACTTTAAGTTGATTATTATCTCAATTTAAAATTAAGGCTAATTAAAAACTAAAAATAGAAAATACTTCAAATTAACTATTACCTGAATTTAAAATTGAAGCAAATTAAAAATAACTTAATATCTTAAGATATCTATTATCTCAATTTAAAATTAGAAACTTAGAATGCAGTATCCTAAGTTAACTATTAAAATTTGAATAAATGAAAATTGGAAATGCAATACTTTAAGTTAGTTATTACTTCAATTTTAAAATGAAACAAATTAAAAACTGAAAATGTGATACATCAAGTTAACTATTACTTCATTTTAAATTAAAACAAATTAGAAATTGAGAATGCAATATCCCAAGTTGACTATTGCCTTAATTTAAAATTGAAGTAAATTTGAAATTGAAAAAGTAAATTTAAAATAGGATAAATTGAAAACTAAAAATATAATAGCTATTGTTCAAATTTAAAATTGAGATGAAATATGATATTTCAATTTAAATTTTAAATAGTGAAATATATTTTTAAAACATTTAATTATTTATTATTTATATAATATTTTTTATTTTATAAATTATAATTATTATTAAATACACTAAATAATTAAAATAATATTTTATGCAAATTTGTTAAAAATTAATTTTTTTAATTAATATTTAATTAAAATATAAAGTAATTTTTAAAATTTAATTTTTATTCATTATTTTTTTACTATTATAAAAAATAAATTTCAGGATTTTGACATTCTTATTAGGATAATATTTATCATTACAAGCTAAATTTTCTTTTTTACAAGAACATTTTATTTATTACAATTAGTATTAGACAGTGATGAATAATGATCAGATCATATGAAAATTTTTAAATATTCTTAATCATATGTCTATATAACTAGTAGTCATTAACTTTTTAGTCATAACTAAATGATTTTCAGTCATATGATCAATATGACTATTATTAAAGATCATTTAATCATTAGTCATATGATCTCTTATATTTTTTTTCAAATGATATAATATAAAATAGTAAAAATAATTTAGTTTAATATTTTTATTTATATATTCAAACTTTTTTATCTTAAGAAACTATAATTGACATATATTTTTTTTAAAAATAGAGCCTAAATAAATAAATAAATAAGTTCATTCTTTATTTTGTTTCATATTTCTTTCACTTTAAGAAATTAATTAGTATTTTGCATAGATTTAGATCGATTTGATTCTAATCTAAATCTAATAAATCAGATTTAGATCAAATCTGTCAGATTCAAATTTAGATTCAGATTCAAATTGGATTTAGATTTAATTCGTCAGATCTGAATTCAACTTTTTTAAAGCTAAAATGTTTCTTTTATTAAAAAAGAATAAATTTTTAGACTCTTTTAAGGTTAAAAAGTTTCTTTCATTGAAAAAGACAAATTTTCAGATTTTTTTAGAGCTGAAAATTTGTTTTCTTTCATTGAAAAAGAACATCTTTTTTAGGATTAAAAAGTTCTTTTCATTAAAAGGAAATAAAGTTTCAAATATTTTAAGATCTAGAAATTTTTTTTTTATTAAAAAAAACAAAATTTAGATTCTTTTATAATTAAAAAGTTTCTTTCATTGAAAAGAAATAAATTTTGTATTCTTTTAGATCCAAAAATTTGTTTTCTTTTTTTGGATTCTTTTAAAGCTAAAAAGTTCTTTTCATTAAAAAAAAATGAATTTTTAGATTTATTTTAGAGTTGAAAAATTCTTTTATTGAAAAGAAATGAATTTTCAGATCTCTTTTAAAGTTGAAAAGTTCCTATTATTAAAAAAGAACAAATTTTTGAATCTCTTTTAGAGTTGAAAAATTCCTTTCATTGAAATGAAAATTATTCAAAGAAATATTACAAGAAGAATGAAAAAGTATTCTAACTAAAACTTTGATAAAAGCTTGCTATATCAAATTAAAATATGTATTAAAAATTAAAGATGCTATTTATAATTTAATAAATTTATTAATCTATTGTGAATGAAGTTAATTTTTATCTAAATTAGAATTCAGATGATCTTTAAATATTTAAAATTTGTGATTTTAACTTCAGATAACTTAAAATAACTATTTTTTTTAACCAATCATAATATACAAATTATTTTTTACAATTTTATAAAGGTTAACTTTAAAATCTTATATTTTAGATCTTTTATTTTTTAATTAAATTATAATTAATTCTATAATATTTATTTATTAAATTTTATAGTATTAAATTTCTAATATATATATTTTTTTAATGATATTTTCTTTTCTTTTATTATTTATTATTTTATTACTTTTATTTTTTAGAATTTTTAATCATATTCAGATTGCTTTTTAATATAAAATTTTCTTTTTCTTTCTTTTTTTTGATTTTTTCTTTTTTTTAATTTTTATAATTTTTTATATTTTTATTCAGTTTTTCAGCAAATAAGAAAATTCTTTTTTTTAAGTTTATTTTTATTTTCATGCAGATTTTTTAACTATATCAATTATTATATTAGTAAAATAAGTAATTTTATTCATTATCTATTTTTATTTTTTAAATATCAAACTGAAAATAATTCAACTTGAATAAGCAAAAAATAATCATTTAAAAAGAACATATTAAAAATATTCACTTTTTTTTAATTTTTTTAAAATAGCAAAAAGTAAATAGAAAAGAAATTTCTATTTTTATAAGTTATTTGTATAATTATTTTATTTTAAAATTGAGAGGCAAATTTTAAATAAAATATTTAACTTTTAATAAATATTTTCAAATTTTTATTATATAAAAATGAATTATTAATTGTTTTTATTATAATAGAGTAATAAAAAAAAAATAAAAAAAAAGAAACAGTTAATAAAATTGTATAAAATTCAGATTTTATCTGAAATTTAATTTCAAATATTTCAATTTCAGATGGTTTTATATTTGAAATTAAAATTTAATTGAAATTAAAATAGTTATACAGAAATTGACTAATAAGATTATTGGAATTTCAATTTCAATTAACTGATCTTTAAATTTTAATTTCAGATATTTAAAGATTATCTGAATTCTTATTTCAGACAAAAATTAATTTCAATCACAACAGGTTAACTGAATAATTTTTAATTAATTTTAATAATCAATATAACAAATATACAAGTTAAGAAAATTAAAAAAAAATTTTATAAAAAATTAAAGATAAATAGATAATTATTAAAAATCTAAAATTACAGTAAATTATTTTAAGATTCCTTTATATTTTATAAACAGATTAAATAATTTGTTATATTAAATTACCTATATATATATATATTAAATAAATCTATTATAAAATTTAACTATATTAATATATGATAACTCTTTATAGAAATAAAAATTTAAAATAAGAAATTTATTGATTTAACTTTTATAGAAATATTTTATTATAAATTAATCTGGGATAAAATTATAGTAAAAATATAGGGATTCATTTTATATTTTAATAGAATATGATGACATCTCATAGTATAATAAACTGAAATACTCTTATGTTTCAGAGACGTGAAAACTCATCTTTTTTATTAACTTTTATATATTTTAATTGAAATGTCATTTAAAAAATAAAATATTTAAAAATAATGAAAATGTTAAATTAAACTATTTATTGATGCATTTTAAATATTTTAGTTAAATTCAAAAGTCCTAAGATAAAAAAATATGTTAAAACAACTGAAAGAGTTTTTATTATCAATATATATGTGAATTCTAATTAAGAAACTTGGATATTTTGGGCTGTCTTGTAACTTTTGAAATAAGCTGTAAAATCAAAATACTGTATATTGTAAATTACTTTTGTATTGGATAAAAGATTTAGTAACTATATTTGTTTTATGTTATAAAACAAAATTTCAAAATAATCAAAACTAAACTTTAATTTCTTGTCATACAGCCTTGATATGCAATTCAGCCATATGTTATGGATTTGGCAATAATTTAACTATTTTGAGCTTAAATAAAAGCCTTTTTAACATTTTTAATATCTTAATAATCACAAATATATAGTGAATCAATTTTATTGTAATGAATCAAATTTAAAATGACTTTGATAGACAATGAGAGTAATAAAGAAGGATTCGCACAAAGTCAGAAATTTTCGGAAAGAAATTTACAACAGGAGCAGCAGGAACAACAACAATTGTTAGAACAAAATTTACTACAACGAAACCAACAGCAGCTTTCAGAAGAAAATTTGCAACGGCAAGAACATCAGGAACAGTTTTCGGAAGAAAATCTGAAACGGCAACATCAGCAATTTTCAGAAGAAAATTTGCAACGCCAACATCAGCAACAGCAGTTATCAGAACAAAATTTGCAACTTCAACAACATCAGCAGCAATTTACGGATGAAAATTTGCAACGCCAACTGCAATTTTCTGAACAAAATTCACCACAGCAGAACCAACAAAATTTAACGCAGCATTCGCAATTTTCAGAAGAAAATTTGCAACGTCAACATCAGCAACAGCAGTTATCAGATCAAATTTACAACGGCAAAACCAACAGCAGTTTTCAGAAGAAAATTTGCAACGCCAACAGCATCAGCAACAGCAATTATCAAAACAAAATTTACAACAGCGAAATCAACAGCAAATTTCGGATGAAAATTTGCAACGCAAACAGCAACAACAGCAGTTTTCTGAACAAAATTCACCACAGAAAAACCAACAAAAATTAACGCAACATTCACAATTTTCGGACGAAAATTTGCAACGCCAACAACATCAGCAACAGTTATCAGAACAAAATTTACAACAGCGAAACCAACAGCAATTTTCGGATGAAAATTTGCAACACAAACAGCATCAGCAGCAGCAATTTACGGATGAAAATTTGCAACACAAACAGCAGTTTCCAGAACAAAATTTACAACGTGATCATCAGCAACAGCAGTTTACAGAAAAAAATGTACAACAGCAAAACCAGCAACAGTTTTCAGAAGAATATTTGCAAAGTCATCATCAGCAACAGCAGTTACCAGAACAAAATTCACAGCAGACTCAAATTTCACAATTTTTGGAACAACATGAATTATTTCATAAAATGCGAAACCTCTTAGATAAGCAAAAAGAAACTTTGCAATTTCTTAAAAAGAAACTTCAACATATACATCTTCAACAACCCTTACAACAGCAACATTTCTCAGAAAATCAGCATGAACTCTTACATCTATTCAAACAACAGCAGGATGTTTACGCTGACTATGCTTTTAAAATTCAAGGTAATTATCTCCCGATTTATGACCTAAAGATCACTCATGGTAATATGGATAATTCAAACTACTTTGATAAATATAAAGAAATGGAATATAAGAATAAGCAATTGGAAAGAGAATTGAAAGAAATTCAAAATAATTCTAAGCCAAAATCAAGTAATTACGGATTAGGGTGGTTTACCGATCAGCAAGAACTCAAATCAAAATATAACGATCTTAAATACAAATTGCACGATCTTCAAATAGAAAACCAAAAATTTGAGGCAATCTTAAGTTCAAAGGATAGAAATATTAATGAATTGGAAAAAGCTAATAAGAACTTAAGGAAAGAAGCTACTAAGTATCAATCAGCTTTGGGTGATGCAACTAGTTTTCATCTAGGAAGCCAAGATTCCAATAGCGCCGTTCAATTATCAGAAGATATACGTCATTTGCATAGAAATTTAGAGATGTTCTGTGGACTTAAGAGAGGTATTGATATTAATGAACTGGAAGTGGAAGGACTCTTGGAAAAGTATGGTTGTTCGCTCACCGGCAAGATGCGTAATAATAAACCTTTGATTTCTGGCTTATTAGAACGGCACGTGATCGAAACCATTATTAAATTCCTTAAAATTCACGAGGGAAAGTTAAATAACAAGCTATTTATATTTCACAAATAATCTGTTAAAAATTTAAGAAATAAACTTTGATCAATAATTTATTATTAAATTATTGAACGAATTTCTCGAAGTAGTAATTAATTAATTTGCTGATCATGCACATTCGCTGGTGATTTTGCTGGTATTTATAAATATAAAATATATTGTTTTGATTTCATGTAACAAATACATCGTTTGCGGAGCAAATGAAGAAAATATTTATGCATATTGACTGAGACGGATATGAGGTAATGTTGTATTAATCTAAATTATTCTAGAATTGAAAAAGCAAAATTTCACTCGTACAAATAATCCAACAGTATGTCAAAACATTTTTATTAATTATCCTGATAAGTTTCAAATTCAGTTTCATTCAATTTTTATTATTGAGTAATATCTCACCATTCTCGTTATACTAATGGTACAAAAACAAAATTTACAATAATGAAAAGTTGGATCGCTCGTTATTATTACGCGTTTAATTCCTCAGAATATTATTGAAATAAATTTCGAATTACTATTAGTTGAATCCTTATCATAAATGAATGATTATTTTATTGCTTGCAATACTGTTTAGGTACTCGTGTACAGTAAGAGATGAATCTTTTCATTAAAAATGAGAACGTAAAAATGCCAGTAACTTGATTGATTATAAAACTGAGAGAGCTGATGTTTGTTTTCACAGCGGAAGCAACTTAAAACAATAGAAGGTGAATGGTCACAAAAAAATCATTCGACAACAACAATTGGAATATTCTGACAATTTGATAATAGAACAGGAAATACTTATCCATCAAATAACTTACGATTTGACATTTATATTAGGACGTTAACGAGATGGCACTTGAGAATAAATAAGTAAACTTAAGTAGAAAAGTATATATAAACTTTTACATTGTAGCAATTTAAAAACAAACTGTTAATTTTATATTTCTAACCTTTAGTTACTAACTATGCAAGAGTTAAGTGATTGTAATAGTTTTGACAAGTCTTTTATTTTGCCAAGTATATCTATCTGTTAATTTCTTGTAAAATTTATGCATAAGTGAGTCTCGTTTATGTTTTGTGTTTAATTAGATGAGATTGGATCTATTCTATTAAAGCTTATTACCAGAACGCCGAGTGAGGCAGTAATATTTGATAAATCTTATTTCTTAAAAAATATAATGTGAAAGCTTTTTACAATAAAAGTTATAATAAAAATAATTTCCGACTAATAAATTCTTTTTATTTTTATTTTGTAAACATGAAATATAAAAGCACTTATAGTGTGATAATTCTTTTTTGATTATGTGAATTTAAGGTATGCGTGAATATAATATCATAGAATAACTTAAAGATCTACTTTATTATCCACATAATCGTACGGATGCTTGTCAAGAAGTACGATCATTATAATTAACAAGTATTTATGACGACACTTTGTTACTGTCGTGAAATTGCCAAATGAAAATAAACATTCGGAAACAGATATGGATTTAACTCTTTTGATAAATGAGAAAAAATATATTTTGAATCGGGTTATATAGTACGAAGTACGTGTATACATATATGGACTTTGTTGTAAATAACCGTGATAATGAGCTTCGGTAGTAAATTCACTATCTATTCACCACTTTGAGAAATATAGCAGGAAGTACAACACATCAATAGCATTCTTACAAGTCTACTTAATTACAGTATAATTTACTTGTGTTGTTATATGCCAGAAAAATAATAAGTAAATTACGCAAAAAAGTGGATTTTTTGTAAATTTAGTATATGTACTACCATTTATTTAGTTTAATAAAGATAACATTTTACTACGATTGAGTAGTCTCTTGAAAGAGTTCATCACATATTTATCATTTTACTAATTTACCCCCAAGCTCCGATTGGCTGGTATAATTGAGATTAGTTAGGGTTAGGGTTAGGGTTAGGGTTAGGTTAGGGGTTAGTGGTTAGTCACCGGCGTGACACTGGTGATGTTTCAATTTTTATTAAATTTTTGAGGGACAGAGAATTTTTTCGGTGGGTAATGCTTATTTGTCACGCTATGGGATGTTATAAATAAGCATATCAATCAATCAGAACTTTGGGGTAAATTAGTAAATTCATATTTATTGGTCAATCATTTATCTCGAACTGGTTTTGTAAAAGTCGTTATAGTTTTAACCAAAGAAATAAAGTAAACTGAAAATATTTTATTTTAAATTTTTTTAAAGCATATTCTTACATGTTTCAAAGGGAGCGCTGTCAACTAATTAAATCAAACTTTGTATGGTCATATAACAAAAATATCTATTGAAGATTTTTTTTATATTAAGCTATTTTATATTATGATTTAAATTATTTTATAATAAATAATAAATTAAACCTCCTAAATAATATAAAAATTTTTTTTTATGTGAGTTTTGAAAAAAACGAGGTATTTTATGTTTCTTAAAGTTACCATGTACCTATTCAACTTTATTTACGTTACTTAAATGTTAACGTTAATAGAGTACAAGTTATTTAAATTTTAAAGATTTCGGTTATTTTATTAGAATTTATTAGAAAAATGGCTCGCAAAGCCCGAAGTTAAAATGATCGTCAAAAAATCTCTAATAGTAAGTTTTACTATGTTGACAGCGCACTCCAATGTTTCAAGAATTATCACAAAGACTTCGATTTCTATGATACCTAATGAATTTGTTTTTAAACATATTTAATTGAATTAAACGATTGATAAATTTATAGTTGGATAGGAGAGATAAAAAATAAAAACATTTATTTAAAACTTAAAATTTAAAAAAAAAAAATCTACCAATATTATTTTTTGTTACATAGTATCTATCATCCATTAGCAATTTGAATTTGATTGATATCTAATTCATGATGTAGTACTTTCCTTTTGTGTTGACTTATGCATCTCCAAAGTAAGCATAAATTATATGATGTTTTCGAAATCTAAATTAAAATTTCCGAAATTCGATAATAATATTGATTTTGAGATTGAGGGATTTCTGGAATTATTTTTTTTTTATTAAGATTAAAAATAGTGTTCTTAATTTGGTGTAGATGCTTCTAAAAAAAATTTCGAAAATGATGGTTTCATTAATTTCGTGGTTAATCTAGTTTTTTTTTTTACAAAAACTTAAACAAAAATACGTATCGGTAAATATTGGGTCTTAAAGCTCATATTCTTGGCGTTAAGTTTTATATTTTTTTTTTTTTATATTTTTTTGAAGCAATGTACGAGCCAACAGAAAGTGTCTAATAGAAATATTATACTAATGAAATTTTTTGATTTTATTGAAAAGAATAATAGATTGTAACTCAAAATAACCAAAAATAATGCCATCTAAAAGGATTGGGTGATGGATTTTTCAATTCTCAATTTGAATGCGATGAACCATAATGAATCACGTGAAAGCCTCATGGTATCCTTAACCTGAGGTTGGGGTCTCAGACTCTTATCCTAAACTGGGGTGTACGATTAAGCTTTGGTGAGTTTCATTGGCCTGATTTATTTGTGTAACATATATCTTAGAATTTTCAAAGAAAAATAGAACAAAGAAATACTCAACTTAAAAACGAATTTAATGCAGTTTTTTAAAGGAAAAGTATGAAAAAAAATATTTCTCGCAATCTTATTTTTATTTTAGAAGATTTATGATTGAATAAAACATGATTCATTATTTTTTGTTAAAAATGATTATTTATTGAACAAAAACACCTTATTATATACCATAATTTACATTTTACTATTTCTTTTACTATTAGAATATAACAGCTGTAAGCTTCTATAACAATAAAGCAATATAGTATATTAATATTTATTTCTTCATCACATTTTTATTTTAAGTTTTCAATAAAAAATATTTCGGCATATTTTATATTTAAAAAATTGGTTCAACCACAGAATAAAAATAAATAAAATAAAAAAAACTGTAAAAAAAGAAATAACATACTTTTCTAAACGAAATTTACAGACAGCAAATGGAGTAGTAAAAGAAGTGAGCTGTAAAAAAATAAAAAAATAAAAAAAATAATCTCTTATTTATATATCAGATCTTATTATACACCCTTTAGGATAAAGGCCTACACCCCACCTTAGGTTAAGGATGTTCGGTACGGGTAACTAAGTCTGATCAAGCGAAAGCCTCATGGTACGGGTAACTAAGTCTGATCACGTGAAAGCCTCATGGTACGGGTAACTAATTCCGATACTATCAATTTTTTGTTTCTGAAGAACGTAGGCTTGAATTGTACGCGTTTGGTTGAAAATTTTCTTTTATTTATTTTTTTTTTTTTTGCAACCCGCGTTTGTATAGGGATATCCGTCTTTACGTGTTTACCCAAATCCTTGAATACGGATAAATTTTATAATTAAGTTTTAATGTTTGTTATAAATGCTGTATTAATTTAACGAAGCCGCCATATAATCATGTAAATGAAGCCTCAAGGATAAAATGATATAATTTGATATAATTTTAGCGTAAAGCGAAAAAGTTGATAATGAATTGATTTTTCAGCTGATAACACGGATAACTGCAGCCATATATACCGCGTGGCTTTTTTTCTCCTATAGTAATCATTATATAAAAATTTCCATTTTTGAGTTGCCTTCTTTTTTATCTAATATTGCGCCACATTCTCAATTTCTTCTTTTATTTATTCTAAAAAACGAAATAATTTAATTGTTGGGAAAGATGTATAAATTGAACAGTTTTGCAATCTTCACGATGATATTATCTATATAGCAGATAAAAAAATATATAGATATAAAAAATATGAAATTATTTTTATACATAATTATTTTTTCGTTAATCACATTATCATCTGTTATTTCACAGGAAACAAAGAATGATGACGCATGTGCGAGAATAATCACTGAATACCAAAAATCTAATAAAGATCCGGAATTTAGCGCGAAATATTCAGATGTGAAGGCTTGCCTTGAAACATTTCCTTATGACAGAGAAATAGCTGAAAGTGTAAATTTTGAAAAGTTTCATTAGCAAAAGTTTTGTTTGTTTTGATTTATTTTATTTTCTTAA